CTTTAGGATAGATATGAGAGAGGAACAGCCGATTAGGACTTTCTTCTTTGGAAATGCTTGAGTCTTATGCCAGAACCCTTTTTCCTTTCTCCTGTTTTTTTTTTTTTCTTTTTTTTTTTTCTTTAGTCATGCAAACAACTGTATTTATTGTGTCACCAAAACCCAGATGTCCTTGATCACATTACAGTGCACTTCTGGTCTTATGGCAAAATATGCATGTGTGAGGTCTTATTGCTGGGCACACTATGTCTAAACATGTGCTGAGGAATGGAAGCAAGTTGCTTTCTCTCACCTGCCTAGAGTGCTGGGAGATACCTGCTTTTTTTTGTTGTTGTTTGATGAATACATGTCTGTTAGAGGCTCAGGGTTTTTGGAAGAAAGGATGATACGGAACGGGCTGTGGCCTTGGCGCAGCATAAAAGGACAGTCCCGGGCTACAGGCAGATGGACACCAGTGAGGCAAGGTTCTACCAATAATGTCTGTAAATAATTAATTCATCTGTCCTGAGAAAATTGTAACTCTATCCTGAATGGGATGAGACATGCAGGCAGCATGGAGTGATCAGCATTGGACCTCTGCAGGGCTGTCGTGTCTGTTTTGTTCAGTGCAGGATGGAGGAGGTGCTCATGGATCACCTTTGTCCACGGACCTGGTAAGATAACATCATTATAGCACAGTTCAATGACCCCTTTTATTGCACGGCTGTGGAGCTGAATGTGGACTTTTTTTTAAGAGCAAAAGTATTTCTTCAACCCATGGGTTTTGTTTGCTTTTGAAAATCATTATCTATCAGCCTTGGTGACCTTTTTTTTCAACATCACAGCAGTGTTGTGACATTGCTCAGAAAACCATTTGGAAAAGCTGGTGGGACAAGTGCTGCCTGTGCCCATGCTCTGACACAGCTGCTCTTCAAGGATTTCACCAGTGCTTGTAGGCCCTCTGCAGAGAAGAAGAGTTAATGGGGAGGTTTCATAATATTTTACAGCACAGGAATCAATCATGGTAAACTGGTTGTCGCGTGAACTGCTTCCTCACCCAGCCTTTAATGACCTTCAGACCCGCTCTGAATCACAGGTCATACATAAATGCTTAAGTGCCCTGGCAGCTCTTGGGCATTGGAGGGCCCCCAGCATACCCAAGGCAGGATAACAGGGAAATACATATACACAGTTTGCACACACACACATAAATAAATGACATTTTAAATATGAAGTATAGATCACAGGTTTGCAAAAAAAAAGGTTAGAACTGGATTGGTTGACATGACAGGGGCTATGCCCTTCTAATACTAATCCGATTGCCATGTGTTGCCTGAAAAAATGTGTTCAGCTCAATAGCTGAATGATTTGGATTTGGCTCTGGACAAAATTTTGTCTTTTCATCAGAAGATTAAAAGGTTTTTTAACCATAAACTTTGCATTTTTCAGGGCAGCCAAACTATTAGGTTTTCAGGAGTTCAGATTTTTTTCAAAAGCTCAAACACCTCAGGAAAAAGCAGAAACATGGCAAAAATGTCCAGTTTTGTTGAAGAAAACTTTTCACTGGTAAAAAGGCAAGACAAAAATCTCCCCACAACCTTAAACTATTTATAGGCTATGATATGGTGTAAGACATTTAAATGTTATTTCACTGACACCACTCCACTGATTGCTGTTTCATGGACGCCTACTACAGAAAAAGAAAACTATTTAGAATTATTTTCTGTCCAAACTCTTTGGACAGACCCAGTGAGACACCTGAACACATGCTTAACATCTTGGCACAGGAACTGTGCCATTGACTTTAGTGGTGTAGCTCATGTGCTTAGGCTTAAGTGTGTACTGGAAAACAGAGATTAGAGTGACTGAGTTCAGAACTGCAGCAATGAAAAGGCCTCTGTATTTGCAGTCAAAGATGAAGTAGAGCACCGGGGCTAAAACAATACTACTAGGAAAGGTTTTGGGTTTTTTTCCTTTTTTTTTTTTTTTCACCTGGCTTGTGTGGTGACACTGTTGCCATCACTGACCTGCATGACAAAGTCAGCCTCCTAAACCTACAAAATTCCACTGTGCATTTCAGAGAAAGTGAAGTGTTAAATGAGAAATTACAGTGAATATCCCCCCTCCCTTTCCCCCACTTTCTCCTCTGTTCCTTTTGACATCTGAGAAAACCAACCACAACTGCATACCATTTATAGATTTGCCTGATTAAAAACAGTTTTCCCTATAGGTCACATCATGTAGAAGACACAAGGTTTTTGTCAAGAGACCCGCTACTGGCAGAAACTGTTTTGCTGCTATTGCTAGTAAGAAATTAGTAACTAGATCCATGTCCTGTTTTTTATGCCAGCTTTATAATTATACTATTTCAGTGGTAAGCCAGACATTTGGGCCAAGGGTAATTTAGAAATTCTAGATCTCTATTCAGTTTTGCTTTTTATGTTCATCTTTAGTGCAGTTATGTCTCCTTGCAACATATAATCTTCCTGCATTTTCCTCCCTTACTATGGTTTCTGTGACCTACGGTCATAATGTAACAAATGCATTTTATTCAGCACAGCTCTGTGAAACCATAGGAAACAATTATTGGCTTTAAACAGCCTTATTTTCTTGTTCTTTATGTCTCTGTCCTCAGATAATTGTGTATAGCTGACACTGTTCTGTACGACTGGTGGGTCAGGATTTGTCCCTTCAGTTCAGAAATGCTTTTGCTTTCCTGTCGTTTCTGTAATTTCAAAAGCTCTGTGGAGCCTATTTGACTTTCTTGAATGCAGTTTTTTATAACCTATGAGACTGTGGTTGGCTAAGTTATCCTTCTGGTGTGGTAATGGTCTCTGCAGTCTTTACTCAGACTGTGATTACACAAAGTATATATTTGTCTTCTTCAGCTTATATATGCTGCGAACCTCCTGAGCTAATGGTATCTCTGAGATGTGGTTTTTGGAGCACTAGTGTGTCCATTATGTTGTGTTTCTTTCCTACAATGAAACATACAGCCAAAAATACAACTTGTCCATTTCCTTCAGCACAAGATTTCCCCTCTGCTCTGTATCATGTTCTTCTTGTTCCCTTGCTTATGCTGTATGGGTTTTTTTGCTTGTTTGTTTGTTTGTTTTATGTTCTTTGAACTTCTGGAAAACAGACTCTGACAAGCCTTGGTTTCAGGTGAGGGCCTTCCAAACCTCATGGACTTCAGATGAATCATTTCTCTTGTTGCCTATGATGAACTGAAAATACATTCATTGCAGACCAGATTTCTTTGTAGCCTACCTGGAAGCCCCAGCTCTCACCAGCTCAAATGTGTCACCACAGCCAAACATCATAACCACTTCCCATGCTGAATAATGATTTTGTTGGTGGAACTCCCAAATAACTACCCTGAGCCTTCTCATTTTCAGTTGTCTTTCTGTTTCTGTTGGGCATGATAGTCCTGGTGGAGTGTGCAAAGCACTGTACAAATAGTCATGCACGGATAGTATTCCAGGGTGATAAGGATGAGAAAATACAGAGTCAGGTGAGGTGACTTGTGTCTCCAGCCCTCTGCAGAGAGTCATGTTTTGGGCACACAGTTCCTTGCACCATGGCTCAGTGTCAGGGCAGGCGGTGCCTTCTCCTCAGACAGATGTTTCCTATTTCAGGAGTCTCAACACTATGGCTTTTTTGATTGTCTTTTCACATACAGATTTAGTTTTTGCTCCAGATAAAACATAACTAACCATTTTCATAAGTTATTTAGTGCCACTGGTGGGATGTCTCTGGATGTGTGGGAGTGTGTGTGCCCATGTGTGTGTTTGGGTGTGTAACTGTAGGATTTGTATCAGGAGTGTGCTTGGCACATGGGCATGGAATAAATCTTGAAGTAATTTTCACCACAGGAATTGGTGAATGAATTACTTCCTTTTGTCTGTGGCTAAATGTATATGCAAAACGTATTTGACAAACTGGTCTTGAAATGTCATCTCCTGCGTGGCAGCTATTCTGTCTGCCTCTTTTTTCCTCCTGTCATGCAAATGGTTCCAGTATTTCCACACCTCACATCGTGGGGACACATAAAGCAGAAACAACTAGGAATAAAGTCTTTAGCAATTTTCTGTTGCACCCTCTTCGTCACAGCCCCCAGCTGCTCCAGCTTTCCACTTCTCTCCTTTCAAGATAAGAGGTTCACGGTTGCTCATCCTTTCTGCAAATTAATCTGTTTACTGGGACTCTGTGGCGTTTTTCTGTCTTCCACATTCATCTGAGCTACCAGATAGTCACATTGAGAATTGTCTGCGTGAGGTGGGCTCTACAGAGGGCTGAGCATCTGTCCCTGGACTGAACTCACCATGGAAGGAGATGCACTGAGGCACAAAGGAGTGATGTCCTTGGCAGAGCTCCTGTGGAGTCCAGCTGAGGAAGGTCTGTGTTTACTAGAAATGTTTGCTCAGAAGAGATTACCACCTCAGTTTAAGGGAAGACTTTTCAAATAACCTGGGATATTGTCTCCAGACTGAACTTCTGGGGTATTGCCCATCACCAGGTTATTGCTTCTGTTTATACATTTAATCCTTCTGGCTCCTAGCTAATAGACAATAAAGTCTACTGTGCACTATCTGCTGCCTACAGGTTTCCATTTGCAGCATGCTCCTTTTTCTCCTAAGTACCTGGTGTCAGTATTTTGGCATGTATCCCTTCCCAGGAGGTGAGTTGGAGGAGGGGAACCAAACCACTGCTTTTTCAGCTATACATTGCTCAGTTTACATGAGCCTTCATATCAACCTCAAATTATTTATTCAGGCCTCTACTTAGATTTTCAATGCCTGATTTCTTTTTCCAGTATAAGTCCAGTGCTTTAGATAATAACAAGCCCCAATGCACAGAAAAGCTCTTTCTCTTTCATACAGTTAGGACGATAGTGGACAGTTTGTTTAACTTTTGCTGCAGAGAGCTGTTAACATGAGGGGTGTTCTGGCAGAGGTAAGCGGGAGGGGAGTCCATCCCTTTAATTCCATGGCATTTTAGGATAAGTTTGATTTCTCAGGGGAAAAACTATTATATGCATGCTCCATAAGCATTGAATCAATGAGAAGGCTGGAACCAGTAAAGATCTGACTCCTCTATTACAGCCTGAAATTCTTTTCTCACAGAGGAATTTCTGTCAGAGACATAAGTAAAGAATATCTATACGAACATATATTTTTTTTTTTAAATTTTAGTGCCATTTAAGCTGTTATCATTTGGACAAGTTTCATCCCTCCAGGGTAAGAGCTCTGTTCTAGCATCAGAAAAAGTAATAGATTGTAAGATACAAAAGCTGTGCTATGTGTGTTGGCTACAAAGCTGGGCATATAGTGTGTTCCAAGGAAACACAACTTCCAAATTTTTTGCCACTTCAAGATAATTTGAGTAGGCTGAGTTGGGAAACTGCCTGAGCCATTAACTGATATGCAAACTCAGATGATGTGTCACAGGGAGGCTGACACTTTCAGTATGTACTTCCCCATTAGCCTTTCTCCTCTGCTGTTCTTTTTTATCCTAATTTTTACTGAACTTCCCCACCCATCACAAAATGTAAACAGAGTTAAGCATCTGATTTGACCTGAGCAGCTCTGCTCTGCCTTTTCAACTCTGGACTGATCAAACCAAATCTGCGATCTCTGGCACAGGACCACAAAGGCTGGTTGGGGTCTGAGGAGCTGCAGTAACTACTGTCAAGTGTTTGTTCGACCTCTGCAATTTTACCCCTCCCCTTCTCATAAGGACATGTACTCTGAGATCAAAGACCCTTCAGCATTTTTATGGGAAGTCAGCTAGAGGCATGAAGGCGAATTGGGAATACCATGAAAGCTCTGGACGCTTTGTGGAGAACTGGTCATCTGCCTCCGCAAAAATGTCTCTGTCTGTGCCGATGAATCCTTCTCCCCCTCTTCAACTTTTTCCAGGATCCCTGCTTAATATAGGACTGCTTTTCAACAAAACTATGATAAGGTTTCTCTGATAGCATGATTAGGCTGCAGTATGGAAAGAGCCAAATTAGGAGAAGGGATAAGAAAGCACATCACTGCTGTAAGACACAGCTGTGTTACTGTGTCCTCCTTGCTCACCCTCTCCATGATACTTTGCAACAGGACTTGCAGCAGGGCACCTCTCTGCTACCTTTGCTCCCAAGTGTGATAGAACCACAGTCGGTCACAGAGGTGACAGTGGGGCTAGGGGACTTGCATCCCAGTGGAGATGCACCCAGGGCTAGGAAATGAGAAAGCGGGCTCTTTCAAAGGGAGGGAAAGGTAAAGCAGACCATGGCCTCTCCCAGCATTGAGTTTGGCTGCTGAACTATAACATCATCGTAGCTCAACTCCAGGGGCAGTTTCGGTGTCTGCTTCAGGTGAAATGCAGCAGTTATAAATGGAGCCATAAATTGAGGCTGCTTCAAGAACAGCTACAGAACACTGTATTTCTCCCATAATCCTCCCAGATGTCTTTCAGACCCTAGGAAACTCAATGAAAGAATTTATGACTATAACTCTTAGTTCTTTCACAATAAAGGAAAAAAATTCGTAACCCCAACCCAAACTTACATCTAAGATAGCTGGTTTTATAGGTACCACCATTCAGCTGAACTGCATTTTTGCTCCACTGGTTTTGTAGCTGGAAGTGAGCAGGGTTTTTTCCTTCTCTCTCTTTTTTTTTTTTTTTTTTTCTTTTCCTTTATGAAGGTATCAGGAATGAACTGCAGTGTAAATTGCCTTCTTGACTGCTCAGGGGACCAGCAAAAAGTTGATTGCTTCACAGAGATCATTTTCTTGCAGAGGTAGAGTAGAGCTGTAACTAGTAAATTTGAGGATACCCTAGGGGTGGCCCTTTAAGCCAGGTAGGGGTGTAATGTGGTGGACGCTCACACAAGTTTCACTGTATTCTTACAGCTGTATAAAAATTGTAATGAAAATGCAAACCCAACCCAAATTGTGTGAAATTTTCAGTGTGAAATTTTCAGAGCCTCTCTGCTGACCTCTTTGTGCATACACAGCCTTGGGGAACTGCCATGGGGAACTGCTGCCCTGGCACTGTGGTGGGGCTGCTGCTGCAGAGCAGAAAGCGGCTTTCTGGTGACATGGGGGGGCTGGGCCCTGAAGTTTGACATGGGATAAGCAGAGGTATTGCTGGGTAACAGGTCAGAGATGACATCTGAACTAGTACATGTCTTCTTCAGCTCAGATGGATGCCAGGGGCTCACTGCAGAGTGCTGAAGGGGCTGCCTCTTCCTGCAGTTGGTGCTGTCTGTGATTGCCTGTGGCTTTAAACTCTTGCTGTTCTGGTGCATCTTCCATCCACCCCTTCTCTGAGCCTCCCTCTGGTCCTCTCACTCTCCTCATGACCTTTTGTTTAGATCAGCTGTCAGCTGCCATTTTGGAAAGAAAAGCAGCTCCTAGAGCTTTTGTACTGATAACGGCAGTGTGGGCTGCAATGAAGTAATTTCCTCCTGTATTTATTTTTATTTTTTACTGCATTATTTTTAATGCTTGCTGCTTTGTCCATTCCATAACCTCTACGTGGCTTTTTGAGTGCATCCTTTTAACTCTTTCTTCCCATCCTATCTCTTTATCTTTATTTTCTACCACATGTTTAAACAACATTGACTTAACCCACCTGCCCCTGACGAGAGGATTCTGCAGAGCCTTCCCTTCCTGCTCCAAAGCATGGCTAGGAATACATTTGGTCCTGTTCTTTGTGGAAAGCACATCCTGCTACGCAGCCCTCAGCAGCAAAAATTTAACCAGATACTTCACCCCAGTCATAATGGGTTATTTATTGGCCTCAGAGAAAGGGTTATTTTCTGGGACTCCAGATAAGGCTGGGGCCAGGAAACAGCTTGCAGTTGTCTCTGCAAATTCGTCAAGTCTCTACCATAGTGTGTTGTTATTTCCTCCCTTGTTATCTTCAGAACAGAGCTGTCAGGAAGAGGCAGCCTGGTGAAGGCAGCTCAACCTTCCTGAAACGGTCTTTTCCCCCATCCTCATGATCTTGCCGAAGACAGCGAGCTGGGCTCTAGCAGCCCCTGTGCCCCTTCTCCGGCAACACATGAAGAAAGTTGTCCTGTTCTCAGCTGAGAGAGCTCTAAGAGCTTTCTAATCAGCTCACTGTCAGCCTGTTTCCTCTCATCACTTAAAATGAGCCCGTGCGAAGTTTACAGCTGCCAAAGCTTTTGCTTGGATTCAAAACACTGGAGTGTTTGAGAAGCAGGTTGTAACTGCCAGGGCAGATTTCTAAGGAGGCAGCACTTGGGGGAAGATGGGACTTTTCCTCTTGTCAAAAATACTCTGAGTGGATGAGAAATCATCAGCCTGGGTAACAAGTTTTATTTTCAATTGTTCACTTTGAAAATTGACTGTTTATTTTGCTTCCTATGGTCAGATGTGTACCTTTGTAAATGAGATGACCCAAAAGTCTGTGCCGATAGGTGAAATTCCCAGAGGAGGGTAGCAGTGTTTGGCTTTTGGTTTTTATTCATGCATATGCAGGACACTGCAGGTTTCTCCTATTCGTGCTTTTAGAAGTCTCAGTGATGTATCAGTGCTCAATGCACACATTCCATTGACCTGCTTCTGCTGCTCCGAGCATGAGCATTGGCAGGGCTGAATGGTACATCTTGGCTACGAGGAGGAAGTTTCAGCTTTTTTCCACAGGTGTCCAGGATGCTTTTGAGGAGTATGAAAGCCAGGTAGAAGTCTTAGAAAAAAATGGTGGGAAGCACTCGCTTTGGTCAGTCTGATTTTTCAGAGGTTGCACCTCTCTTGTTCAAAGCAGTGACAAATAGGAACTGCAACATGCAGAATCTCCAACTGCTTTTGGAAAACTTAGCTTAATTTATTTACCACTAATGCAAGCATGTGCCCATTATATCAGCAAATATATCATATATGACAGACTTTTTCTAGCTTAGACATGTTATTGAGCAGATACTAACTTCAATAGGAAGCTTTCTTCAACCTCCTTTTGACTCTTCACTTCATCCACACACACAGTGGAAGTGTCCTGCACTGGCAAAGAGCAAGGGCAAGCACCATGTTGATGCAGCCCTCCGGAAAACCTTTGTCAAGAGCTTTTGTCAGGAGTGGATGAGCAGGGAATGACAGACAGTGACCCTTCTTATACATCTGAGAAGTTGTTGGTAGCTGAGCCTGGATCAGTCTGAAGGACAAAATGGAGTCAAATGTGGTCTATACTTCTAAAAAGTTGAAAATGTTCCATACATCCAATCCTGGATGTACAAGTCATGGTGCCTGACTTGTACTGCAGTTCCTTACATGCCCTTCATGTGGGAAGGAGACAACAAGCAGGAGAAGGGTGAGGTGCACCAGAGGGACACTGGGGGATGTGCAATACTAGAGTGGCGAAGGTCGTGGTGGCACGGGGTTGGGATTTGGGGCAGAGTGATGAGAGATAAGGTCTCTTGGGTGTAGGGTGCATGAGCTGGGTGGGGAAGGAGGGCAGGACCTGGGTCACAGGTTCATGAGTGGATGGGAATGACACATTTACATGTTTTGGAGACACTTAGGATTTCTCTCCCCGACTTGCTGGGAGCTGTGCACCCTCTAAACTGAAGCCTACTACTTAAGACAAGCTTTTAGGAAAGAGTTGGGATTTAGAGTCTTAAATTTAGAGTCCTAAGTGCCCCAAAGATGGTTAACTGTACAGATTCTACAGCAAAGCATGGAAATGGGGAGAGGTGTCCCTTGTACTGCCCACTTTTTGTTAGGAGAGATGTGCCCTTGAGAAAAGGGCTTGTTATGGGCAATGACATTATTCCCAACACATTCCGTTCATACCATATTTGATGGGAAAAAAATTCCTTTCTGCTGGTATGTCATTGACATTGAGCAGCAGTTATTGAGTGTATTTGATCTTCTATGTTCTATGTTCTGAATTTCATGAAAATCAAACCAGATATATTAGCTTTCTTGAAAGTGTTGGACAAAACTTGCACTCTATGTGTAACATATAATTGTAAACCTGGAGTTTACACAAGAAAATTCTGCATCTGAAAATACACCCTGACATAAACCTGTTAGGTTTTTATGGCACTTTTCTTTTGCCCTACTTTAGATGTCTGAAAAATATAATATCTATAGTAACATATATTTTAAAGTAATGATACCAACATTAATGGAACAAATTATGATGCAATATTTAGACTTCATTAGTTTCTTTAAAGTATTTCTTTTACATTACAAAATTTCATTTAGGAAAACTGGTTCTTTTTTTTTTTTTTGATGTGGGTTAATTCCCCTCCACCTATGGTTACTGGATTTACCATGTAAAAAGAAACAACTGTTCTTTCTAACACCAAGCTACCTACAGGATCAGCAAATTGGTTTAATTTCTTCTGGTGCTAGAAATATACAAGCTTTAATCATGAATCAGATACACACCCTCTAAAATATATTAACTCATCAAAGTAAAGGCCCCACTAGCCCTTAAAGAGAAACCTTATTATACATGCTATATAATACCTGATATTTATATTATATAGTTTGGTTTCAGTTATACAGTTTGATGTGTATATACATGTGTTTGATGTGTGTATATGCATATACATTGGTTTCAATCCAGGTGTAATGCTGACCTGCAGAAGGTTGGGTTGGGCTGATGTTCTCTGTTAGCCTTCTCTAGAAGTGTGCAGTAGTAACAGGAATGCTCTACTTATAACAATTCTTTGCAAATTTTATATTTTTTCAATCTTGGTAATGGCTTGAGTTTATTCAGGTTAATTTTTGACAGTAGCTATTCCACCGAGTGAAGGGAAGATCCTTTATTGAACCTTCCTTTTGCTGAATGACAAAGGAAACATGCAGAGGGTGGTAGCAAGAGTGGGTATCCTGGGAAGATACAGAGACATGAAACACTTAGGAGCAAACTTAAGAAAGCCAAAGCCCAAATGGAATTGAATCTGGCCAGGGATGCTAAAAACAATAAGAATGGCTTCTTCAGGTACGTAGGTGACAAGAGGAAGTCTAGAGAAAATGTGGGCCCACTGCTGAATGAAATGGGGGACCTGGTTACAAGAATATGGCAAGAAGGAAGACCCAGAGAACCACAGGTCAGTCAACCTTTTCTTGATCCCTGGGAAG